CTTGTGACACAATAGTGAATCATTGTTATCAGGACTGATTGTGAGGGATGGAAATGTAAAGGTAGACGTTTTGTAACAAGGAGGGGAGTGATGAACTTTGCAGTTTAGGAGCGGAGGTCCCTGGGACCATCAAGGGAGAAGAGCGGAGAGTGGGACCCTACCCAGAGAAGCAGTGATGCCTGAGATGGAGGCAGAGACGATGACATGGAGAGATGGAGATGGAGCAGCTGGGGACTTTAGACCCAAAGAGGGAGAGGAGCTGTGTGCTGACGACCGGGGGGCAGGCTTGCAGGGTCTACCCTTTGGTTGTTTGATGATGCATGGAGGGGATTGTAACCACAGCAATAAAAGGATATATGATAGAATGAATGTAAAGCTAATGTTTTCCCATGTGAACTATTACATAATTCACAATAAAACATAAAAAATATGCACATCTTGGGGCTCTAGTACATGGCATACATAGACTAACAAACATTGCAAAAAACACACAAACAATCGATAAAATGGTGGTGTTGTGATGTGCCATCGAGTTGGTTCTGACCCACAGCGACCCTGAACAGGTTTTCCGAGGCTGTAAATCTTTACGGGAGCAGAAAGCCTCATCTTTCTCCCGCGGAACTTCTGGTAGTTTCGAACTGCTGACGTTACAATTTGCAGCCCGGTTTGTAACCACTACACTACCAGAGCTCCTTAGAAGACAAAATAGATAGCTTCAATATACTAAAAATTAGAAACTTATATGTATCAAAAAATTTCATCAAAAGAGTAAAAAGAGAGCCCACAGACTGGGAAATATTTTTTTTTGCAACGACATATCAGACAAGGGACTACTCTCGAAAATGTATAGGAAACAACACCTATACAAGAAAAAGACAAGTAACCAAATTTAAAATGGACACAGGACATGAAAAGACACTTCATCAAAGAAGACATTCAGGCAGCAAACATATGAAGAAATGTACATGATCATTAGCCATTGCTGTTATTGTTACATGCCATCGAGTTGGTTCCGACCCATAGCGACCCTGTATAGGGTTTTTGAGGAGAGATTGGTGGGTTTGAACTGCTGACCTTGCAAATTCCAAAACT